AACAGGGGTCTTTGGCGCCTAGAAAGAAAATACAGTGCAAATAAAGCATCTTTTAGCGCAACGTTAAAGTAAAGTTGCGGGAAAAAATATATCGATTGATTCATACACTACTTAAATTACTTACATTGACTAATCTGCTATCCTTAAAGTGAAATTTTTGGCAAATCTGTTACTACTTAACATGCATTGGGGCGGTTAATTTAATAGGAGCTCTCCGTTGAAAGCGGACCACACTTGGCGCCAAAATTGAATTCGAAAATAGTCTATCTCATCAAAATGATCATAACTCGAGCCATGACACCAACCCGATATATTCTGTTGAAAATCCTGTATTCTTCTCTCCCACTAAAAAAAATTATCCTTCCCTTAAAGTTGAACTTTAGAATCTTTTATTACCATAATAATTAAGATAATTAATTAATAAAATTATGTAATTAAGATTCCTTCATCATAGCATATATTTACACCGACCTCTGAGAAAGCATATCTATGTTTCCATTGGCCGATTGGGACATAAAAGAAGAAATTCGATTGGTGGATTTCGATCCGTTGGCTGGTATAAGAACTAAGACCTCCATTTTAAGCAGACATATTCAAACACTATTTCACTTTCGTTTGGTTGTGCGACGTTTGGAACTGCTTATCATGTCTGGACGCGGTAAAGGTAAAGCTAAGGGAACCAAATCAAAGAGCCGCTCATCCCGAGCTGGACTTCAATTTCCCGTCGGAAGAATTCACCGTCTTTTAAGAAAGGGCAACTACGCCGAGCGAGTTGGCGCCGGAGCACCAGTGTACCTTGCTGCCGTTCTCGAATACTTGTCCGCCGAAATCTTAGAATTGGCGGGCAACGCTGCACGAGATAACAAGAAATCGAGAATAATCCCTCGTCATCTCCAACTCGCAGTACGTAACGACGAAGAACTGAATAAACTCCTGGCCGGAGTCACCATCGCCCAAGGTGGTGTTCTGCCGAACATCCAAGCCGTGCTCCTGCCTAAGAAGACCGATAAGAAAGCTGGAAAGACCTCCTCACAGAGCCAGGAGTATTAAATCTCCTCGAATTTAACAACAACGGCTCCTTTAGGAGCCACCAGCTCGAACGAAAGTCCTGTTCAGCGTGACTCTAAAGTTATCCGTTACTTCGAGGCTTCTTTGGCGCCAAAACCATCTAGTTACTTTACGAATGAACTGAACTTTATTTTAGCATTTTTATTATTTAATAGTCGTAAATGGCTGTACAACGCAAGTGTATTTTATTTACCATATACAAAATGTTTTGTTCACTTCTATAAACTCCATATGCAACCTACTGTCATTAATTTGCGAATCTAATTATTCTTGCACCTTATTGTAAATACCTTAAATCGACAATAATTAGTACACAACACATTGTATGTATTATTTTAGGAATTAAAAGTGATTTAGAATTCTTTTTGTCAATTTTTAGATTGGGTATGAAATTCAGCTTGCATTGGGAGGGAACATTGAGGTTAACTCTGATTGAGCTCTGTTTCTTGGGATAGTTAACTTTCAATGATGCTGAGAGTATAAGCCCTTTTTTTTTTCCATATGTACAATTAAATGGATGTGAGCACTTTTTTTTGCCTAAGTTCTGTCCCTAAAGGTTACATTCACCATAACATGGAAATAGTATTCTACAAGAGAAGATAATATAGATAACTAAAGAGATCTGTTGCAGAGGTTGACTTGCTGCAACAATCAGTTACAACCAGCTAAAACTGTCTAGCACACGTTTCACTGCATACAAAAGAGCTTTCTGTTGCACAACATGATTAAGAGCCATTCTCTTTCCAAAACTAATTTTAATGAAAGTTTTCTAGGGCATACAACATCATAGTGGGAAACATCTTGACTACAATCGCACATGAAAGGAACACTTAAATTACACTTGATTCCATCTCAACCTGTGGGTAAAAAATTACAAAGAAAGTCATGGTAATGATACAAACATCCATATACAGACAAAGGTCCGGTATTCCTATGTCAGATAATTCCAAATCAGTGAACAGTTGAGAAAAACAGAAGATTATTGACTTCTAATTACTAACAACCTTCAACATACTGGGAATTTTTGGTTGTTTCTCATGTCCTAGCAGCCACTCTGGAGATTAAGCAAAACATAAAACTACAATCTGATTACCCCTCTCGTTTACTGTCAAGTTATTTCCTGTCTGACTTGTATAGTCTGACAATATCCAAGTGCCAATGAAACAACTAGTTGAAATACTCAATGATAACCAAAGCACCCTCTTTTTATACCTCTCCCTCAACAGACTCAGCATCTGGACTTTCATATTCATCAGTCTCATCCTCAATTTCTTCTGCTGAATCATCATCATCCTCAATCTCATCATCATCTTCATCAAGTCTCTTTAAAATGATATCAAGAGTAACCAAAGATTCAAAATAAGTGAATGCAGAGTAGACTTTTAAAGTACCAATTCCATTTCATCATGGGAAAAAAATTATTTCAACCAATATCAGTATCTTTCTGTTCAAGACAAGTGAGCTTTAGGTTAAAAAAATATTTAGCTCTTTGGCCCTATCACTCCTGAGAACCAAACAGTTATTCTCCTCACTGCCTGTCCTACATTTTGCTCTGAGAATTTAGTGTTCACCCTTAAACTCCCAAGATCTAATTGTCAATTCTCCCCTCCAGCTGCAACATGTTTCCTAGTAAATTAGTTATGAGAATTTGGTGTAAGATCAATACAACAAATTCCACCTGATAAGTTTGAACATTCTTATAATGTGTTTGCTGAAAAACACCTTGCTGTTAATCACTTTTGGGAGTTAAAGGGTTAAATCAAACAATATCTCCTAATTGGCATTACTCTCTCTTCACCTAACCTTTCTATCACACAATGTAAAGACAATGTAGGGAGAAATAACTTATTAGTCACTACTGGCAGTGAAAGGGTTAGCATCTGAAATATGGTGGGGCTTTTTACTTAATCCTTTAACTCCCAGAAGTGATTAATATAAAACTTCTCCCTAAAATATCCATACATTATTCAGCAAATAGGTAATGAGAATATTCAAACTTATCAGGCAGAAGCTGCCATCTTGATCTAGCACCAAGTTCTCACAACTAATTTACAAGGAAATGTGTAGAAGCTAGAGGGGAGAATTAACAATCTGATCTTGGAAGTTAAAGGGTTAATGACACCAAACCCATAACTTAGTGGAATACATGTGTACCATGTCCCACATTAGAGAAATTTTCAGAACATTGGACAGTCTCCTGTCATCTAGAGCCCAAGACATTACAAACTCTTGGAAACTTAGACCTTGTTCCTGACTTAACACTGTAAATTCATCCCAGATATCTTGTTTCCTAACAAATCAGACATATTTTGGGATCTCATCAGACAGGATTCCAGTTTTAGAGGTAAGTGGTACATACATAATGAATAAACAACAACCTTACCTCCTGCCTGTCTTTGGTTTTAGTGGTACCAATTGGAGGAATATCAAAGCCCTTATCTGCAATCCTTTTTAGCTGCCATGGAAACATCATCTGTTATAATATGACTGAGATACTGCAAGCATACTGATTGGTAAAAATATATCATTTATTGCAACGTTCGGCAAACCTAGAATTATTTTATAAAAGCAATAGCCCAAACTTTCTAGAAAGTACAAGCTACGGTGTACATGAAACTACCAATTATAGAAAGCCGAATATCATGATATGCTTCTGAGTAAGTTTATAGTTAAATCAAAATTTAGCTGTAAGTTTCCCTTAGCACTTTGTATTTACAGATCTTAATCGCTAGAACTTTGATCATACCATTAATTTATTCAAAATTTCCCTTTCTACTTAAATTTTTGCAGATTAAAGGAAAAACTTGCCAAATGAAAGTCGTTTTAATTAATTTTAAGTTAATTTATAATTCCGTTGATGTAGAAAAAAAAATTCGAAACAATTCGTTTTGTTTTGGTGCAAGCTGAGCAAAAATCTACGGCAACTCACCGAAGCAGCGTATTCTTCCTCTTCTTTAGCTAATACAGCGTCATCATCTGATTTCTTTTCCAGCGTGAACCAAAGATTGTCCGCAACTCGGGGAAGAAGAGATGGAAATGTAGCCGATGAGGTCGCCATCTTGGATGTTTTGAAATTCCCACGAATTTACCGCTGACACCGTCAAGCACTCTCTCTCAGTTACGTCAAGGGGTTCGAGAAGGGGAGGGATTTTCCTGAGTGTCTTCTCGATCATAGACTTTGGACAGAATTTGAACTTGGGGGTACCCGGTCTTCATCGCGGTGGTACCAACAGTTTGATAAAATCGAAATCTTTAATACCCTGAGTGATATGTTTACACCCAAAAACATTTCTTCTGAGGGAAGTGCTGTCTAAATTTAAAGTTAAGTAAAAAATCATCAGACAGTCTGAGAATCAGGTTAGAGCCAAGCATATTAGCATGGGTTAGGAGGCATAGCACTCTGCCACTAAACCAAAAGACTCAAGGTAACTACCTGGAAACTTATCTGAGGATGTGACCCATTATTGCAATGAGTACAGGAGGCTGGTTGGGATTGAGGGAGCATGCATTCAGTCTTTGCCTCTATGTGCTGCTTTATCCCTTGTTCATGTTACAACAATTGAAATATTTTGTCTCAGAAGGGAGTCCGATGGAATATCTTATCCCTAAGACAAAAAATTTAATCTGGTATACTTTGGGAAAATAATGTTTGCAGATCTTTATGCTGTGAGGTGAGGACAACATGATAAATCTAATGGTAGATATTTGGGAAAAATCTTAAACATAGCCATATTATTCAACATTCAAAAAGCTGCTCTTTAATCAAAACCTATTTGGCAAATAGGGAGAGTTAAGCTACAGGGCCTGCAAAAATGTTCTTGGCTTTATCATATTCAAGGCAGTCTTTTAATGATTATTCATTATATGTAATGTAATAATGTTATCATATGAAAGCTAATTCATCACTCTAATCGACTTAACAAATTATTTCACTGTTTTAGATAACATTCAGCCCCTGATGAAATTTCAACAAGCTTTAAAACCTCAACTATCTTCTTAGTTGCAGTTCCATAACCGTTAAAGTATATTGCATTATACTAACTTAAAAATGTTATACAAACATCATATTTTTCTACAATATGTCAGCACTTGAATTTCAAAACACCATTCTAGGAGGAAATTACAATATCATCATGTAAACTTGACATGCAAAAAAATTTATTACTTTACATTAAGTAAATGTTTCTTACCCTTTCATTCACATGTTGCATACTGCACATTTTAAATAAGCCTTTCTGTATCTATGTAAAGAATACTTATATGGTAAAAAAACATAACTGTTGCTTTTGTAATAATTATTCTTTTTCATGGTTACAATGGCAACAGTTAAAAATAGTCAATACCTCTGACAAGTAAATATTTCATTGTTATACAACCTAAGTGAGGAATCAGTATTTCTCTCTGATGACTTAAAACTGGCTTGAGTTACAAGCACTTTTTGGTAGAAAATAAATTTTGGGGTAATAGTCTCATGAAGTGAAAGTAGAAGTCTCAACATTCTGGACTACTTCTGTGAATGCAACACCCAAAATTCCCTTAGGAGTAACTGCATTCAAGCTCTTATCTACCTATTTCGTACCACCCATAAGTGATTAACATGTACCTTCTCCCTATAATATTCATACAATATCCAGGAAACAAGTGATCAGAATACTCAAAGAATACTCAACAAAGATGATATCTTGATCTGACAACAAATTCCTGTCACTAATTTACAAGGAAATCTATATCAGCTAGAGGGGAGAATTAACAATCAGATCTTAGGAATTGAAAGGGTTAATGTGAACTTCCCTCAAAAAATTACAAATCAACTATAAAACTCAAAGGTAAACATGTACTTTAGAGCCCTGATAAAATCCAGTACTACATTCAAGGGATTATTTTGGATTAAAAGTGCCCTGATATTTGAATCCATTGACAGAGCTACTTGTGGAGACCCACAGACCTTAGATGAAGACCCAAAATGTAACATACTTTGTCTGAAAAATTTCAGACAAGCATCTCCCCTTATCTGAAGGCCTGGATCTGCTAATGGAATATGTTCACTGATTTTTGTGTAAAAAAAACTTAGAATTAAATATTAAGCATGAAAATGTTTTTTTTTTAAATACCAAGGGTTAATAAAATCCAGTATAAAAAGGTTGGTGCAGAAGTGTGCTCTGTTGTGTCAAAAGCACACTAAACCTGATTTTTTTTCTGTTTAGAGATGTAGCTACTAAAAAGCTAAAGCTAAGCACAAAGCCCACAGTCATAGAAGTTAGATTTTTGTTTCCATCGACTCATTTGAACCTTTTGAATTTCCTAGTTTTCCTTCTCTGGATTTTGATGAACCAGCACCAGACGCACTTCCACCAAGCTGTTTTATACCAGAGAAAAATCCACGTCTTTCTCCATGACTTTTATGCTTGCTGATCACTTTTCCATGTTTTCCATGACCACTGGAAGTGAATGCACTTTTTCCTTTTTGCTTCATTTTGTGAAGCAAGTTAAACTGCTTTTGTTTGCCCGATGGAGGGGGCATAGTTGCAACAGTAACCACATCATCTTCAACCAGAGATGTTCTTACAGGTTTCTCTGTGTAAGGGGGAGGGTTTACTACATCCAATTCTGATGTGTATGGAGGGCAGGCCCTATTCCAAGGCTCCTTGATTGACTGAACAGTGTGCACGTCACGGAAACTAGCAGAGTAACGTCTTTCTTCGAGAATTTCTCCATTTGGTCCAAGTGTATGAGTTGAACCTGGTGCCAGAAGTTCCTTTCTTGAGGCAGGAGGAGATTCAGAACTATTTGAGGATGAAACACTGTCTGATCTTTGCGGCTTTTCTGCAAGGCTGCTGTTTGAGACTGTACTGCTACTTTCTGATTGTGCTGACGAAAGCTTTCTCTTTAATGTGCTGGTAAAATTACCATCATTCAATCTCATCACGCTGAATGCCTCCAGAACTTTGGTAACTCTTGTATGGCCTGGAAAAACAAAGAACCAAAACTTTTCAATTAAAGAAAAGAAAACTTCTATATTCATATACAACCTTCCAAGATTGTAAAATGGGGAAAATAATTATGTTAATAACTAGCACTTTGTCTTCAAAGTCAATTTTTCTTCAAATTAAAATTTCCCAAAGTGAGATTTATCCTTAAAACTCCCAGATCTGATTGTTAATTCTCTCTTCTAGTGGCTAATCATTTCCTTGTAAATTAGTTATGAGAATTTGGAATTAGATCAAGATAACAACTAGTACCCAATAACTTTGTGTTTGCTGGGTAATGCATATCAGGGTATCATAGGGAGAAGCTACATGTTGATCACTTCTGAGAGGTAGAGGATTAAGGTGTAAACACTGCCCTGAGTTTTTCCTGACTTGTTATTTTCATCAAAATGTCAGTTCTTAGATTTTAAGGAAAAGGACTCACATCTATGGGAAAGTGACATCAATTTGAGTTTCTTAATTCATTCAACTTTCCAAACTGCTATCTAATCTGGTGCTTACCAGCTTCATGAGCAACTTGCATTGGACTTCTTCCCAGCTTGTCGGCATGATTCATGTTTGCATTATGCTCTAATAACATTTGCACTACTTCATCGTGACCTTCTTGCGATGCAATACAAAGGGCTGTGGCTCCTTCCTGGGATGTTTTGTCAACTTTTGCTCCCTTTTGAATTAATAACTGCACAACAGAAACATGGCCCTTCCATGATGCTGACATCAAAGCTGTGCGTCCTTCACAATCTGCATGATTAATTGCTGCACCTCTGTTACTAAAGAGCTCCACAAGCTCATAGGCTCCCTTCCATGCTACTGCTTGAAGAGGTGTCCGTCCTTCCATGTCCTTGCTGTCTACAAAAGCTCCAAGATCCAACAATAGTTCAACCATCTGTTTGTTTTTCTCGATGGAAACAGCAAACAGAGGTGTGCGTCCAAGACTGTCCTGATGATTGACATCTCCACCAAGATTAACAAGATGCTGTACGCATTCCTCATGCCCCTCCATAGCAGCAAAATGCAATGCTGTGCGACCATCAGAAGATGCTTGTTCAATGGGTGCACCATACTCAATAAGTGCTGACACAACATCAACTTGGCCTTCCTGTGCAGCTAACATCAGTGCAGACCTACCATCAGGATCAAGTGCATTGACATCCAGGTTTGCAGCAAGGAGAGAACAAACAACATCTTTGTGTCCTGTTAGAAAAGTGTGCATCAAGGTGAACAAATTCATGTGATAACTATACTATTCACCCATGCATTGCAAAAAGGTTTTATATTTAGTGGCAGCAATATAATTTTTTAATTAAGTATCAGTAAACTGTATTAGTGCAATGTAAAGTGCTGTATTGTAAAAAATCTCCAAAACAGAAAAAATATGAGGCCATCAGAAAAAAAAATAATAATTTGGTAGACATTACAAAGTTCCATTAGACTGGTTCACCCTTTACACCCTAACATCAGTATGCAAACTCTCCATGCTACACTCTATATCAGGGCTAAAAATTAACTCCAGTACTTGGTGGCCAATCAGGCCAGTTTCCTTGATTTCTTAGTGGCTCATCCCAAAATGAAGTTGCCCTCAATTCCCTCTAGTTTAAAATGAAAAACTTGAATAAACACCCATGGCTTTTAACAAAGTGTTGACTAAAAGGAAAGAACACAAAAGTCCAGAGTCACATGGCAATCACAAAATCTAAATGGCATCTATATGTTGTGAATGTGGATCACTTGTGAAATCACCATTAAAACGGCTCAGAATTTCCACTTCAGACTAAAAATTCACCAAAATGGATGATTTTAGTGTCCAGGCAAAGAAATGAAGAGAAAGGTAGTCCAATTAAACTACATATTGAGTTTTATTTTTAACTTTGTACTTTGCATAATTTACATTGCAACTTTTTGAAATTCTGTAGCACAGGCACACACTGAGCATTCAAACCTTAACTTTTGGTGGCCCTGGTCAGTTTTAACTCACCACTGGCGAAAGTGCAACCACCAATTTTTAACGGAGCTTGCAGAGAATAGCCCCATAATTATACAAAATAGTAGTAACCCATCAAGCCGAAAAAATTTGGACTTATGACCGTACAACCGACCATACAAGGTGCTACTTTTAACATGCGTGGTCAACTGTACCATGGGCACACCAACACCATGGCTTTGTCCAGTAGTCTAATGGTAAGTGCACTGAGCTCCGAGTCAGACGACCCGGGTTCTAGTCCTGGCCAGGGCAAGGCATTGTGCCCTTAAGATGTGTGGGGAAAAAAAATGCCAGCTCCGCTTTTAGGCTTGGCTAAATCTATATATTAGCCCTGCTAAACATTTCCTAAGGTGCTGACAAGAAGAATTTGTTTAACAATCAAGAGCTTATGTGGCTGGTGGTCATTTTCTTATTTCTCATAACCTTAATGTGTGATTTAGGGATGATATTGTTAGGAGAATTTAAATGCTAGTCACCCCTAAGGGTCAGAGGGTTAATGAAGGAAACACTACCTTGATTGGCAGCTACCATCAATGGATCCCAACCACTATGATCTGGACGGAACATTGAAAATGTTGGTGACATCCAGGTTGAAGGGTCAGGTTTCCTATCTGAAATAACAATCAAATTGATAAACATTTCTTTTTCCTTAACAGCTTAAGTAATCTAAATCATAATCATAGATCCAATGACCATATAAAACATTAAGCGTTTTTTATTTTATCTGAATTTCCCAGGACCTTCTAGATGATTTCTATTACCTATAATCAAGAGATACTTTCCAAAACAAGAGGAAAAAATCATTTAACAAAGGCATTCATTCTTTGTTCTTCACAAAAATACATAATTTTCATTTATTTCCATGACTTTCCATAATCCAAACTCAGATTCAAAGAATATTAGGGTTTTCAAAGACCCATAGTAACAAAGATAAGGGTAAATATCTACAGATACTACTGGTTACAAGATTCTACTGTAAATAAAAAGAGAACCAACCTTCTGAAGTTGCCAAAAACAAATCTACAATGTTGCAGTGACCATTAGCAGCTGCTGCAAACAGAGGTGTCCGTCCATTTCTGTCCCAGTGTCCCATGTCTGCCCCAGCTTTGACTAATAACTTGGCAACATTGAAGTATCCCTCAAGAGCAGCAACACATAGTGGCGTTAAGCCATCAAAATCAGGATGATCAACTTGTGCACCACGCCTTAACAGAAGGTCAACAACAGCCTCATGATTCTCACTAGATGAAACACAAAGAACTGTTACAGCTAAAGCAGTTCTTCCATCATTGTCGGCATGATTTATCTCTCCTTTATGATCCAGCAGTATTTCTACAACTTTCTTGTGACCCATGTAAGCTGCAGCAATTAATGCTGTCCTTCCTTCTTTGTCAGTAAGATTAGGGTTTGCCCCATGCTGAAGTAGTTGTAATACAACATCGCTGTGACCACCCCATGATGCACCACGTAATGCAGTACGTTTATCGTCGTCTGCCAAGTCTACTTCTGCAGAGTGATCCAAAAGAACAGAAACAACATCAGTGTGCCCACCCGAGGCTGCAGCCCTCAATGCAGTGCATCCATCATCGGCACAGTGATTAACTGATGCACCACAGTTCACAAGAAGGTACACAATTTCATTATGCCCTTGTCTTGATGCTAACATTAGCGGAGACTGTCCTGAAGTGTCTGAAAAGTTGACATTTGCTCCATGTTTAATAAGAAGCCGTACTACATCAACGCTGCCATTGAATGCAGCATTGCATAGCAATGTTCTACCAGAACTGTCAACACGATCAACAGATGTTCCTTTCTCCAACAGAGCTTTAACAGAATCTTCTGTCTCTGGTGCAAAGGGAAGCAAAGCAGCTTGTTCTTCAAGTTCATTTACCTTGGCACCAGCATTTAGTAACAGCCGGGCAACCTCTTGATTCAGGGCATCTGTGTTGAGTTGGATGTCTGAGATTTGGGTTCCACTCCACAGAAGCCAGAGAGCGAGGTGGTCTTGTGTGAAAAACTCCCTAAAAGATGCACGGCTCAAGTGGAATGCAAGTTGGTGTGGATGAGCCAGCTGTTGTTTCTGAGAGAGTTGAGTGTAATGCAATGCTAGCATGGCATGCCCATCTCCTGGGTTGCAAAGAAACTTTGGCGTGCAGTGCTTTGCATCCAAGAGCCACTCAGCAAAGGACAGATGGGATATGCTTTTAACACCATTGTCATCCATGAGAATGTGATGTGACATCAAGTCAAGTGTTTCCAAAAAGTCTTCCACAGTTAGATCTGTGTCTTTTGTCCAGACTGCATGGAACATTTCAGAGTCAGTTAAAGGCCTTTGAGCAGCTAAAATAACATTCAAGACCGACCTGATCTTGTCAACTTGTTCCTCTGTGAATAACCTATTACACAGCCACAGGTACAGACCAGACAGTGTGCCTGGAATGTCCTGGGTCTCATCCAAGGTGAAAAATTCATCGACCACTCCATCCAACAATTTTTCCAAATAAAGAAGACAACCATTGCTTTTGATGTGAAGCTGGTTAAATGCTTCTGCCGTTTCCCTGGTTAAGTGTTTCCTTAAACTGGGCTCGTCGTCTAAGCGATTCAAAATGTACTGTTGAATGTCCTTAACCACATGTGCTTTCCGAAGATCGTCTAAAGTGAACTTTCGAAATCCTGTAAACATCCTAGTGACTGTTTTCGATTGCTTTCTTGCACTGACCACCAGAAAGAGCCAAGGGGGGAGTAGATCGTGGTGTGTGGCCATTAACTCAGCAACAGTTCGGCTGCCAGATGCAACACCGGAATCGAAAGAATGTAGGTAAGATTCATCGATGGCGTCCACCACGACCAAGAAGATTTCCTGAGGCGGTGGAAGCGAATTAAGAGGCAGTAGTATACCTTCTTTAAAAGAACGATCTGGATTTCGAATACACTGTTCACTTTTGAGGTGATTTTGAATCTGGGGGTCGTTGAATTTGGCAGCGTATGCCTTCAGCTCCTCTGCTTTAGCGAGTTGCCTGGCGAGATTTAAGATGAAGTCTGCTACAGAAACAGAAATTGCATTTTGGGCTTGGCAGAAATGAGAAGCAACAACTCTCTTTGCCAACTCCGTTTGAACACCTTCTTTAGTTGTCGGAGACACAAGTTCACGTAAAATTGTCGTTTTTCCCGAGCCAGGTCCTCCTAAAATAAAAGCCCCTTTCGTTTTAGTATCTTCTTGTTGCTTCCTTCGTTCAACACAAGTTTGAATTTTTTCAAACACCCATTCTCGACAGTAGAACGTTCTACAATCGCGGCCATTCCGCGCCATGATTCGCTTGTCGTTCTCGTCCCTCAAAACAACACTACTTGTCAAAGAATGTTAAACATGTTTCAAAAGTAGAGTAAAGCCAGAAGACATTGTCAACGTCCAAAATTCCATTTAGTTCCACGGTTTTTTTTCGCTCGAACCGGGTCCCCTGGGAACTGATATCGATTTATATTGTATGAAAATTTGACGTGTTCTTGATAAGTTGTCATTTACTGTTCTGCCCCAGTGCGCCAGATATTGGCCCCAGGCATGTTCTCCACGGATAATCGCTGTTTGCCTTCACTAAGTCAGTTCAAAATGAACAAACTTGCTTCTTTGCTAGCTAATTAACGCTGTCGTGGCAAATATTTTTAGCTCGAGAATACCACGAGGGGTGCCATAAGACAAGTTTTACATGCTCTTGTTCTTCTTGGGGGTTTGTTAACAATCATGGGATAATAGGAATCGGACACCGTGGAAGCGTCATGATTGAAAAGTTAATTTTAAAACTAGAAATGCGATTGGTTAATTAGTTGCGACCTTGCTTACACAAAAGACCACAAAGCTCTTGCAAGCGATGTACACAAATAGGTTTAAGGGTGTTGATTTGTAAATATTGTCCTAAACTATTCACTCTGAAACCTGGGCTTTTATTCAAAACACGAGGGTGTCCTAAATCTGTTTTGTTTTCTTGAAAGGAAAACAAATCCCTGATGAATTTTCCCGCGTCTAAGAACATCGAATCGTTGAAGCTTCGAGAAGTGTACATAAAAGATAATTATGAGGGTGATTTTAAAGAGCTCTTCAGATGCTTTGATCTGAGTACTTATTTTATCAGCAAAGACTTCATTGAGCCCGATTTTCTGGCGCCACATTTGATAGTCGGAAATGAAGTGGATATCACAGAAAATGGGGAAAAGCATTCAATCAGAATAGTTCTAAGCCGATATTTGCAATTTTAAATGACCATATGAAGAGGAAGATATTGTTCTTAAACAAGTTCAGTTTATCTTTAGATTCTCTGTACATATGAAGTTCAATGGATATATTTTTACAAATAAAGAGTTTATTTTAAGATTGGTGCAAAATTTTCGCAATAAATCAGAGTTATTTTTCGGAATTGCGTGCTTATCTTTTTTTCTGAGAAATACGATACTTTTGGGAGAGGTAACTTAAGATTAATTAGGCTTCGCTGATATTGACCTATTTGCGAGATGTCGGAAGATCTTTAATTCGAGACATTAGCTATACATCCCGACGGGAAAAAACGATAAAACTGTGTAAGCGCCGTCTGTTGAGAAAGACACAGTGGGTATTTCGTTAAAAACACTGATGACTGTAATGATTTTAGAGGTCTTTTAAAGGCAATGAGAGCAGATAACCAAAATCAGCTGATGTTCTCTAGAAGAAAGCATATGCATACAGAAACAAGAAAACAATTAATTAATGTCAATCGCCCCAATGTCCCCAATCCCGACTAGGGTACACTGGGGGACAAGCTGGTGACTTTGTGTTGCACTCCCAGACCTCTTGACCGCGTGACATCCGGGTATGTAGTTAGAACTAAAATTAAAACGACGAAGGTTCATCAACAAATGCTATTTTTAAACTTGTTTTTTGCGCCATCATGGACCAAATACTGAGAGGAATCGTAAGTTCAGATCACACTGAAAGCGTCAAGAAGTCTCTTATTCAACAGCTGGTCTCAAAACTCAATGGAAATGTCCCAGAGGATCAAAACAGATCTATCTTTGAAATTGGAACTGAATGGATGACAGATGAAAACTCGCAATTTTTGAAAGAAACTGGTCGACTATTGCTCACCACGTGGGCTAAATGCCAAAAGGATGTATTTCAAAAGTTTTTCACAGAAAGCTTTCTCCTATCTTTTCTTGCTGAACGCGAAAATTTATCAGTGAGTTTTGTGGATTATCTACGCACCTCCCTTGATCTCGTTCAACACGCACCACAGATATTTTCAATGTACACAGTAATTCGCCACAGGGCTCATATCTGGGCGGAAAAGAATTTAAACACGGACTTTTGTGCGGCTGTGGGACGTTTGCTCATCGAGTATAACCACTGTTGGCCGGTTGGCGAAAATCTAACCCAGTTTAACTTGTCACTGCTTAGAGCTTTAAGCAAAACCGAGCTGCCTAAAACTTCAAAAGAAGAAATGACAGCATGCATTCAAAATGGTGCAGTCATTGGGGCTCTCTTAAACAAGATGTGGACAAAGAATCAAGCCCTGCTCTTTCCAGTTTTAACGGAGATTTTTAAGATTATTTCCAAAGTAGGAGACAGTCCATCAGTAGCACTTGCTTCTGTTGTGCAGTATTTTTCCACTGATACAATAGACTCTGCAACTAACCTTGCAGCTTCAAACCCTTTACTTAGTGATGAGAGCCTAGCTCATTCTCTTACGCGAATGATCAAATGGTTGTCATGGCCTGGAGCAAAGAAGGTTGATCAATGGATTATTGGGTTTTTAAAGGCTTTGGCAAGCAATGGGAAACATTCCATTCTCATTTCTGTTACACTTAAGGAAGTGTCCCAGGTAAGATGCCTGTCCTGAGCAAGATTTCACTGCTTTTTTTAAACCTATAATTTGTGAGAGGGGTGGAAGCCAGCTTTATACCCAGAATTTTATCAATACAATCACTTTGGGTTTCCTCACCGTTCAACCCTGTTAAGCCTTAACCCTTAAGCTCCCAGAAGTGATTAACATGTAAATTTTCCCTTTAATACTGTATAATATCTAATTTACAAGAAAATGTGTAGCAACTGGAGGGGAGAATTAATAATCAGATCTTGGGAGGTAAAGGACAGAGGGACAGTGGTGGTCATATTAACAGGGTTCTAATTTAATGTCAAAGACAGTAGTCTATGAGTTGTCATTCTATTTCATCCATGGTTTTAGTTGAGCTCAATTCTGTTTCAATCTCAGTTTCATATTTGTTTTCAGTAACATTACAGTTTTGTTTTTTCTTCCTCTGCCTCACTCTTTATCCCAAAAGTTGCTTTGGCTAATCTAAGTATATCAACTGAAAATTTTGAGCATTTTATGACACACATAGTCAACAAAAAGTGGGTTCTGTTGGGCACAAAAATCTTCTTGCATAATTCACCTCATTTATTTATTTTGAGAGCTGACCAGCTTTCCATGGACTCGTTTTTTGGGACTCTGTAACATGACTCTTGTTAATAGTGATATTCTTTTATTTTGTTTTTCTGCAGGTTTTCAGTCGTTTGTTGTTCCCCATTGTTCGTGGAAGTACTATGGTTGTCCTCTCTCATATGTTGCTGAGCTTTCAACACTCTCCTCAAGCATTTCATGAGGTAAAGATTTCTGTTTCTGGGTTGGTATAACAGGAAAAAGCAAAGACAAAGCTTTGAGTCAAATTTCCTCATATGACATTAGTTTAGTCACTAGATTTTATGCTCTTCAGTTAGATTATTCTCTTATTAAGTAATTCCATGGGAGACAAATTTGCTTAATGATTACATTGCTGGGTTACTAATTGAGAGGTCTGGGTTTGAGTTGTGGCCAGAGTCAGCATTTTGTCGCTGGGAAAGACACTTAGCTCTCACATTGATTCTCTCTACCCAGGCCAGTACGGAAACTGTCAGGGAAACTGTGACTAAATGCCATAGTAGCCTGTGGTGGACCAGTGTCCAAAAAAAGACCAGTAATCCTCATATAAAGAAGCTTTTGGAGATAATTGAGATAGCCTTATATGTACACTTATGTGCCTGTCTGCATTCCCTTTTTTCAAGTTGAACAAGTGACTATTCTACTGAGTGTTTTAGTGTCAGGATGTATACCAAATGATCAACGTTTCTCTTAACATATCATAGTGTTTCTAGCTTAGGGGAATAACTCTGTCATTGTCTGGACCCGTCTGCTGGAATATGTGGCTTTTTTTCATTTTATAACAAAGAATCCAAGAACGAAGTGTCTATTCTCTACAAAGTTAATCTGAAAAAGTCAAACAATTGCTTGTTTTTTGTTTTGTTTGTGGTTTTTTTTTTCAGATTGTTGTTTTAGTACCCAGCCTTGTGCAGACTCTAAAGAAGGAAAACAGTGGTTCCTCACAAACTAATTTACAAACACTTGCTGAACTTATGCACTGTCTAATGTACCAACATACAGGGTTTCCTGAACTGTATGGACCAGTTGTTGACTGTCTACAGGTATTGTTTTGGAAATCTAACAAGCTGGTGGGAGATGTACTAATATTAGCTAAGGACACTAAAAGTTTATAAAAGGGATTGATAAACACTCTTTTAGAAAGACAGAAAGAAAATAACAACTTCAGCACGCCATCTTAGTTTCTTTATTTATTAAAACAATTTACTGATTTCCTTTTTAGAAAACACTAAATAATATTGTATGTATATATAGAGAGATGTATAACCTATAGTTATTTTTTTATTTCATTTTGCAGTATGTAACATTTCTAATGTAGATCATTGTTCATTTTTATATTTTAAGTTCTATCTTAGAGAGGGCCACAAGTTCATCAGTTTCAATACTTTCACATGCTCCCCTCTTAAGATAAAGTCTATTGATTGATTAGTTTTAGTTTGCTGGATTCCATGTGGAGATGTACTGTTTGGAGCCCTTACAAGGGTCACAGCACCCTGCCTTCTCCAGAAGTAGCTGTTTGGAATACTTGATAAAATGTAGAGTGGGGGAGGTGTAACCAACAATGAACTGATAAAATTCATGGGGGGAGGAATAACCAAGAACAGATTAGTATCCCATCTGAGTAGCAAGAAACCAAGTGCTCCATTTCACAGAAACCAGATTAAACTTTGCAGCTACTTGTATGGAAATCAGTGTAATTTGTGGTCAGAGTAACTAATAATGTTCCAATAAGCTGTACCCTTTTGTACTTTTGATTGTTACTTCTTTCTGAATTTATCGCTCTTGCATTCTCATCCTTTTTTTTATGTATACTATCTATGCATGACCTTCTTTTTACCAGGATTTACCTAAACCTTCAGAGGTGATGATCAAGAAGTGGCTAGCTCAAAGTGCTTGGTCTGCACAAGCTGTCAATATTCCACTTCCTGGCTTTGCACCAAAATCAGAAACGGGAAAAACTGGCTTAGCTAACCTAGGCAACACTTGTTACATGAACAGTGTGTTACAGGCACTCTACATGCTTG